TGAACTGGTACATTCTAGCTTTAAAAAGAAAAGAAATAACATCAAAATCCCTTTCCAGATGTGCTGTTGGACCAAAAGACTGTCAAAGTCTGATGGGTAATCCACAGTTACATGTTAATTTTGGGATGGAAGAGAAGCATGTTTGGAAATGTGTTTTGGGCTGTCGAATAACCAACAGTGAAATAAAAAGTGGGAAAAGAATGCTATACAAACACTCAATGTCATCCTGCTGAGCTTCTGACAAGTCTAAAAAGTCTCACATATTTCACATGGCAGCTGAAATATTTTAATTGCAAAGGAAAACAAAGTGTTAGCATGGGTCAGGCCAGCTGAATGTGAATGAAACAACCATAGAAACTTTAGGATGACTGCCAAGAAGTTGCTTAGCTTCTCAAGGTAGGGTTAGTCATCATGGACAAGTGGCAGCTTTTCAAACACTAAACTTCTACAGTATAATCTCAGTTTTAGGATATGAATGCAGCCAGTTAACATCAAGGTGTGAGTTAGACAATCACAGAATTAGAATGTAAATCTCTCTGTTACAGTTTGCTCTTGAGTGACAAAGAAGACCCAACAACACTTATCTAGGACACATCTTATGCACAGGTCACACCAGCAAAAATGTAAATCTGTACAAGCTTGACTCTCTTCTCCTCCTCCACTAACAGAGCATATTCTAATAGCAATGGTTAATTGGCATTTGCTTTTTCCTTTCTCCTTCACCTCTGCTAAGCCTAGAGAAGTTTTTCCTGCTTTCATTCTGAGAGTGAGAAGCTGAAGGTACCTGAGGTGGTTGTCCCTGCATGAACAGGGGCTTCAGCATAATTGCTATTCCCTTCTCCAAGCCCCTTCTCTTACAGAGGCTGATATCCCTCCCATTCCCTTATTCTACCAGCAGCAATGAGTTACCAGGACTCAGACACAACTTTTCATCCCAAGCTCACCCTTAGGGAAAGAACAACCCAGTCGAGATCCACACCCAATCTCATTCATCAGCTGATGACATTAATTTTCTCAAGTACAGCAAAGGATTTTCAGCCATGGCTTATACTCTTCATGGCCTTTGAACACGCTGCCTCCCAAGGAGAGGGTCCTCAGCATCAAGCCACAGCCAAAGAATGTTATCTCTGCTGGAGACACAAAATGGCAGGGGAAGAAATGCAACTGTCAAATGACCTGAGGGAGGAATTCAACTTCATAAGGCTCTAGGGGAGACATTCATCTTGGGGACAGGAATCTGGGCTCTGAGTTACCACTCCCAGCACTGCTATGCACCCCTTGGAAAAGCTGTTTGAACTGGAATGGAAATGGACCTGTCCTAGAACAGGGACCTCAGATCAACATTTTGCTACACCACAATACTGTAAACTTATTCAAAAGACAATCTCTTTTACTTTCAAGATTCAGTTTGAAAACACATTTCATGATACCAGTGTTTTCCACAGGAAAGACATTCTGATTTTTTACTAACTCACAAGTTTTTTCTCTGGCCTCATTCAATCACAGAGTTTCTCCAACAGCTTATGGAAAAACCCTAAAAGTCACAACTTTTGCTGTCAAAGTCATGGCAGTGACAGTCACACAGATTTTGTTGTCGTTGTTTTGTTATCTTCTATATTGAAGTTTTCCATTTCTGGTCAAAGGTGACTTATTTCTAAAAACAGAAACATTTTCACACTTTAAATGCTTAAAACAAAATCCTTTTGTGTAAAAAGCCAGCCTGGAGAATTTCATCCTGGCAGCTGAACAAATCAGAGTCCTATCAATGCTTAGAGAGGTAATGAGGTTATAAAAAAGAACCCCAAATTTGGTATTGGCTCCCTATTTTAGACACTCTTCTTAAAAGAAGCACCGAAACAAGGAAGCCCTTATAGATCTTCAGCTCCTATATGACAAAGGATGGAAGAATATACTTGGATGTAAAGCAAACGTGACCCACACGTCCTTGAAGAGGAACAACTGTTACGATCCAGAAGGAATACATGTTAGGCAATAGCTGTGCTACTGCCCTGAACACTTAGCAGAAAGTGCTGTGGCCTGTTAAGTGCTGGCTCCAGGGGCTCCAGCACAGCCCCTAACATGGCTCTGATGGTCCCTGCTGACACAGTGACACGGGCTCTGTGTGTGCTCCAGGTGATGCTCTGCCCTGTTCCAACCATGGCACTTTGCAGAGCACAGTGAGGGAAGCACGTGTGGTGTGACCTTTCTGAGCTCAGCCCTGTCTTCACCCTGTCAGTGATCAGACACCAGTTCCAGCTCTGCAGGAACCTCCAGTGTAAACCATTCTCACCAGTCACCTCCTAAATTAGGGGAATTAAAATCCAGGTTCTGCTGAAATGATGGGCATGAGACAGTAATGTGCTTCAGAAGATCTCAGGAGGTACTGTGATGCAAAAAAATCCCCCACAATTTCTTCAGCCATTCCAGACCAAATAATCCTGTGGTTTGAATTTCTCATCAGATAACATTCCCCTAAAGCACTGGCTGAACCAGAAGAAAAAAATGAAATTTAAACGACAAAATCGTTTAAAAATTTGGCTTGATTCTTGACTTGAGTATCTTCAAGACTCAGTGACAAATACCAAAACCATTGCTGATTCTTACCTCAGAAAACAGAAGCAATAATGTTCCAGTAACTGAAGTAGATGCATAGTAGTACATTCATCCTGAAGTGAGAAGAAACTTGAATTTCATCTCTGCTAGAAAAAGAAGCCATCACTAATACATTCTGGATGACAATATGACATGTGAATCTGGTTTCCAAATACAGGTGCTAAAAGTAAAGAAAAATAAACCCAAATTGTCTAATCTTTCTTTCAAATGGGATCTTCTCCGCCTTTTTGTCTTCAAAAATTTCAATTCACTTCCAGAAGAAAAGGAGGAAACACTACTTGGATGTAATACCTCAGGAAAAGATTTCATACTTAGATTCACTGGGTTTTTCTCCAGAAGAAAGAACAAAAAAACCTGTTAGTAAAAGACATGTTCTTCCCTTCACCAAACATTCTCTGGTCTAAAATTCCCTCTCTTTCAGACACAGATAATTTCTCAGCTTTCTTGGTCTAATGCCACGTGAGTTCCTGTAATCCCTCTCCCATCTGGTACAGAAGCCATCCGGATGCACTTCCATTACTCGGCAAAACACTTCTTTCCCGTATTTCTCACAGAAACCATAACACAAATATGCACATTTCCTGAAAAGGAGACAAAGTTTTGCTTGGTCTAGAAATCATTAACAAAGAAAGCTTTGAAATGAGTTGGTTTTTTTTCCCCCAGACATGTCATGAATAAGGGATAGCCAGAATGTAAAAAACAACTATCTGCTATAGCGACTTTTAGGAATGGATACTTTTTCCCAAAGCTCAAAACTTCAGGGCAGAGAGAGAAGAAGACACAATAAGATATTAAAACAGCAGGCTTAAAGACATTTTTGTCAGGGGATGTGGAGAACTACACAGAACAATTTAGGGACCATTTTATGTACGACTGAAAGAGGTTTCGTGTTTCTTCTAAACCTTTTAAACAGAGTGTTTTTTTAAACCACAGTTTTATTTAGAAATACTACAGAAAATTTTGCATTAGAACTATACGCAGGTCAGATCATACACTCTCAATTTCTGGGAGTGCCTGCATGCACGTGCACACATACACATACTTCGACAAAAATTAATTTCAATTAAAAAACATTTCCTAATATAGGTAGCAGGCCTTATTGCTGAAGTTATCTCTACCATTACTGATCATTTATTCTGGCAGCTGCAATTTTGAACTCTCCATCCAACTGCTCAGCCCAGAAGGTTGGTCTATGGAAAAAAAAACATTTTTTTGTTCTTTCAGAAGCATAAAGGGGTGTTAGATTGTAAAGTGAGCTTTGCTACAGTTAAACTCATTAAATACAGCTGCATATTACAACAGATAAACAGTATTAAATAAATTCTTGAGTCTCCTTATTCTTGTTAAGCTTTTCCCAATAGTCTTAAGTACTCTCCCCACCT